TCTGTCCATATAGGTTTGCCTCTTCTAGATATTTCATTTAAACAGAATAATATAATATACAGTCTTTTGTGAGTAGAGGTTTTCCATCAGTATACTGTTTTCAAGGTTCATCTGTGTTGCACCATGCATGAGTACTTAATTTCTTTCTTTTGTTTGTGGTGCTGGGGATTGAGCTCAGAGCCTTACACATGCTAGGCAAATGCTCTGCCACTGAGCCACACCCCCAATCCTAGTACTTAATATCTTTTTATGGTTTAATAATAATTCCATTGTATGCCTATACAACATTTTTTGCTTTATCCCTTCATTACTTAATGAGAATGAGGGTAACTTTGTATTTTTTGGCTATTATGCCTAGTGTTGTTGTGAACACTGATATGTACAGTTTTGCATGAACATATGTTTTCAGTTCCCTTGAGTATAGAATTGCTAGGTTATATGGTAATTTTTTGGTGATATAGGGTTTGAACTCAGAGCCTAACACTTGCTAGGCAGGTGCTTTACTGCTTGAACCACTCTGGCAGTCCTTTTTTTGGGTGTATGTGTATTGGGTATTTTTTGAGATAGGGTCTTGCTTTTTTTTTTGGGCCCGGGTTGGCTTCCAACTGCAAACCTCCTGATCTCTGCCTCCTAGGATTACAGGCATGAGCTGCCAGAACCTGGCCATATGGTAATTTTATGTTTAACTTTTTGAGGAAATGCCAACTGTTTTCCATAGTTGCTGCTCCATTTTATATTCCCACCAGCAGTGAATAAGGGTTCTGATTTATCCATGTCTTTACCAACAGTTACTATTTTACTTAAAAAAAATTATCATAGTCATCCTTGTAGGTATGAAGTGGCATGTTGTTGTGGTTTTGATTTGCAGTTTTCTAAGAACTGATGTTAAGCAGCTTTTTGTGTGCTTACTGCCACTCATGTATCTTCCTCTGGGGAAATGTCTTCTGGTCTTCTGTCCATCATTGATTGGATTGTTTGTCTTTATTGTTGTGTTATGAGAGCTCTTTACTCTGAATCCTAGTCCTTTATCAGATATATGTTTGCAAATATTTTTGTGTGAGTTGTTGATTCACTTTTGGTGGTCTTTTAAATCACAAAAGTTTTTTTTATTTCTTTTATTCATATGTGCATGCAATGTTTGGGTCATTTCTCCCCCCTTCCCCCCACCCCTCCCTTTCTTTTTTTTCCTCTTAGAGCATGTTTTAATTGAAGAAATATATAAAACATTATTATATTTAGTAATACATTGTGATCAGAAATATCTAGTCCAAAAGGGAATTTTTTTAAAAGTAACTTCTTTGAATGTTTATAAATAGTCTCATATTCTAAATGTTTTTATTTACCTTCACCTAAGACTTTTCCAAGGGTCCTACTTACTCATTTAGTAATGCTGTCTCCTCAAGTAATTCCACAGGTCAGGGAATATGGCTCAAACTATATGTTATTATATTTGTTTATTAAATGTTATTTCCTGGACTTCCAGATTCATTTTCTTTTTTTTTTCTTTTATTCATATGTGCATACAATGTTTGGGTCATTTCTCCCCCTACCCCCCCCTGCCGCCCCCTCCCTGTCCCCCTTACCCCCTCGCTTCCAGGCAGAAACTGTTCTGCCCTTATCTCTAATTTTGTTGAAGAAAGAGTATAAACAATAATAAGAAGGACAAAGCGTTTTTGCTAGTTGAGATAAGGATACTATACAGGGAGATTCCTCGCATTGCTTTCGTGTACAAATGTGTTACATTCTAAGTTGATTCTTCTCGAACTGACCTCTTCTCTAGTTCCTGGTTCCCTTCTCCTATTGGTCTCTGTCACTTTAAAGTTACTGCATTAGTTCCTTTGCATTGAGGACATCAAATACTGTCATGTTTTTTGGGTTCTTACCTATCCTCATATTTCCCTTGTGTGCTCTCGCTTTATCATATAAACCAAAGTCTAATCACCTTGCTGTATTTGCTCTTGATCTAAAGTCCACATATGAGGGAGAACATACGATTTTTGGTCTTCTGAGCCTGGCTAACCTCGCTCAGGATGATGTTCTCTAGTTCCATCTGTTTACTTGAGAATGATAAGATTTCATTCTTCTTCATGACTGAGTAGAATTCCATTGTGTATAAATACCACATCTTTTTAATCCATCCGTCCACTACTGAGTTTTGAATTCAGCACTTATTAAGCAGATGCGCTATCACTTGAGCCATGCCCCCAGCCCTTTTCACCTCAGTTATTCTTCAGATAGGGTCTCACATTTATTCCCACGCAGGCCTGAACCATGATCCTCCTATTTATCCTCCTATTTATTATTTATTTATCCATCCCCCATAGCTGGGATGACAGGTATGTGCCACCATGCCCAGATTTTTATTGGTTGAGGTGGGGACTTGTGAAGTGTTTGCCTGGACTGGCCTTGAACCACAGTCCTTCTAATCTCTGCATATTGAGTAGCTGGGATTACAGGCATGAATCACTGTGCTTGGGATCCTTTTCAAGACTTGACCTATTTTTGTTAACTTGAAGACTTATGTCATTCTCTTTGTATTTCCTTGGTGTCTAATGTCACTTGTGTTTTTAGGGTGTGGTTCCAACTGCTCAGCGTGCTGCTATAGTTGTAGGAGTAGAGCTACCTGTCTATGATATTACCAAGAAGCACCTGATACTGTCAGGAATGATGGGAGACACAATTTTAACTCACTTTGTGTAAGTAGGATAAGATGTCCTCTTTCTATATTTCTAGCAATTTGAACACAAAGAGCCTCTTTCACTGACATCCTCTCAGATAGAATTATAACTGGTATGTATGGACTTAATACTCTTTTCTATTATCAGCACTTCAAGCCTTCTGAACATTTTATTCCCTTTTTATTAGTGTAGATTAAATTATACAAAATAATGGGCTTCATTATGACATTTTCATGTATGTAATAAGGTAGTTTTATCATTTTTAGCCCCCCGTTACTCAGAAGATCCCTTTTTCCCTTCCCACAGAATATTTTACACTTTACAGAGATCCTAGATTCTATGAGTACTTGTGGGGCCTGGGGTTTGAACTCCTGGCCTCAAGCTTACTAGGTAAACACTCTGCAACTTGAACCACACCTCCAGCAGCACTTGGTACTTGGGAGTAGTGTGTAATACAGCAGCCTACCAGATGTCTGTGGGATTTGCATTTATTTATACAAAGCCTGTACATTGAATAAGCACATATATTATTTTCTTTGGTTAATTTTTTTTATCAGAAAGCAAACTCTTCTTGTTGGGAATCAGAAAAAGGGTGAGATTTTGTAGAGTTTCTGAAACTAAATACAGGTTTTGGCTAAACACTGCTCCTGATCTCATCTTACATTTTGTTTGTCTTATATCCTTTATGATATTTTGCTACTTAAATGCATCTGGCATATGATGTTGTGGTTTGAACAGTATATGTAACTAATAGATGGTGCATGCCACTTCCTGCTTAGAGATCTTGTTAGCTTTATAGACTGTCTCCTTTAAGAAAGAGACTGAGTTTCAGATTGAAAACTGAAGGGACAAACTTTGAATGATGCCTTCTTAGAAAAGATTCCCTCTCTTTAGATTGTAATGAAAGGGTTTTAGCTGAGGGGTTTAGATTATTATACTTTTATGTTTGGCCTAATTTCTGTTTAAGTGGGCAGGAGGTGGAAATGGTTGCAATTTATACTCGTAAAGTTTTCATCTTTAGTTCCAGCTTTACATGCGGCTTGGCTGGGGCTCTGGCATCCAATCCAGTTGATGTGGTGCGAACTCGCATGATGAATCAGAGAGCAATTGTGGGACATGTGGACCTCTACAAGGGCACTTTGGATGGTATTTTAAAGGTATGCACACTGTGGATTTGGTTTACAGTTTTCATTTCTTTAATGTCTCAGACCTTTTTTGGTCTTTCTTAGTTGCCACACATTCAGATAATGAAAGAATCATTACGTATATTTTTAGTAGTTTCTCAGAATCATTCCCGGTTAGAAAATCTGTCTCTTTGGCAATCTGCTGATATGCAGTGATTCTTAATATTATTAGTCCAATTTGCATACTTGAGATAATAGGATATTTTCATTAATATTGCTCTGTAGAATTATTGATAGAAATATTTAATATGTCCCACATTTGCTCACCACAGATAAGACAGAGACCTGTAATGGAAAGCCTGCTACTTAAAACATGGTCTTGGTTTAAGTTCAGGGTTATTCTATTGTTCATATTTTGCTTTGACTACTTCTGCTGTTACGTTTGGAGGAAGCTGAGTATCATAAATGAATTACATAATTATTGGTGACATTACTGTTAAAAAAACAAATTTTGTGCTAAAATGTGGTATCATATGGTTTCTCTGCTGTTGTTTCATTGAAAAACTATTTTATATCAATCACCATTTTAGTACGCTACACAGAAATTATAGCTATTACAAAAATGTTGTTGGTGTACAAACAGGTAATCAATACAACCTGGTAAGTGACAAACTCAGAGTTCTATGGGAGGATATTATAGCCTAATTGAGAAATTGAAAGTAAACTCCCTGTTATGGCAGTAAATTGAACAGTAATAACTACTATCTGGTGAATACTTTACTGTGTGTCAGGAGCTGTCTAATGAGACTTATCTGTATTTATTGAAAAGGTTGGAGGTGTGGCTCAAGTAGTAAAGCACCTGCCTAGCAAGCATGAGGCCCTGAGTTCAAACCCCAGTTCCTCCAACAAAGAAACCATGTGTTCATTCATTGAATTCTCACCATTACCTCATGAAGTAGATACTGGAGCACTGAGGGATTAAATAACTGCTCAAAGTTTCACAGCTAGTAAATGGGAGTGCTGGGATTAAACGCAGACTATTTGGTGTCAATCACCATTCTTCAACCCTGTGGTACTTTCCTCCTTGGTTAGGTTAAAGCGGATATTGAATATTATCCTGAGATGCTTAGACTTTTTTTTATCTTGATGGGAAGATTTAAAAACTTTTAATCAGGTCAGATTTGCATTTTATTTATTTATTTTTTGACAGTACAGGGTTTGAACTCAGGGCTTCATGCTTGTTAGGCAGACACTCTTACCACTAGAGCCACCCCACCAGCCTCAGATTTGTATTTTAAATAGATCACTTTGGCTTTGTGGAGATGGGAGCTAAGACAGTGGTTCTCAATTTTGGGTGCACATTGAAATCACTTGGGGTTCTTTCACAGCTCAGAACCTGGGGTGTAAGACCCAGGTCTCAAATATTTTTCAAACTTTTCAGGTGATTGCAATGTTCACTCAAGGTTGAAGACCAATAATCTAAGGGGATAAGCGTAGAGCAGTGGTTCGCCAAGGTTTAGCATGCCTCAGAATCACCTGGAGGACTTGTTAAAAATGCAGTTAGGTAGGCCGCACCTTTGGGTTCGGATTTTAGGTCAGGAGCGGGACCTGAGAGTTTACATTTCTAACAAGTTCCCAGGCAGTTAAGATGCTGCTAATCATTTTAATCACTTTAAGAACCACTGACCATGAGATAGAGAAGATGATTGGAAAGCTCTTGTAATAATCTGAGCAAGAGGCCTGAACTTCAGTATGATAGTGGGGATGTAGAAGGTGGGACAGAGTTCAGAATAAGTTAGTTGTTCAAGTCAACAAGATTTGGTTGAGATGATGTGAAGAAGTGTGGGAGAAAGGAAATGTCAAAGATCATTTCTGTGTTTTTGGATTGGGTGATCAGATAGTGACATTCATCGACAGAGACATCACAGGAAGAGGAACTGGTTTTTGGGGAGACATCATAGTTTTGGACACTTAAATTGATGTGCATGAGGAACAGACAGTGAATATATTTATATATATTATCCCTAAGTTGGGGGAATTCGTGAATACAAACAAAAGCATATGGGAGCATTAGCATACAGGTAGGTACACAATGAAGGAGAGCATGCAGAATACAACCTACTAGGTAGAGTACAGCAGGTAGTTCACAGCCTTTTTGCTTTCCTAGCATGCTGAAGTAGTACACAAGTCTTTCCAGTAATATTGATTCACTGAGGCAGTGATTCTTAGACTTTGAGGAATATAGTTTGGCAAAAGATCCCCTTGGTACTCCTGACATTCTTGCCCCCACCCACAATTTAACAGGGAAGAGCACTAGATTAAGGAAAGAACACTGGACCAAGGAAAGACTACCTGGGAATACCAATTTTTTTCTTTTCTTTTCCCTTCCCTTCCCTTCCCTTCCCTTCCCTTCCCTTCCCTTCCCTTCCCTTTCCCTTCCCTTCCCTTCCCTTCCCTTCCCTTCCTTCTCTTCCTTTGTCTTCCTCTCTTCTCCTCTCCTCTCTTTTTCTTTTCCTTCCTTTCCCTTCCTCTCCTCTCCTTTCCTTTTTCCTTCCTTCCTTCCTTCCTTCCTTCCTTCCTTCCTTCCTCTCTCTCTCTCTCTCTCTCTCTCTCTCTCTCTCTCTCTCTCTCTCTCTTTCTCTCTCTCTGTCTCTCCCTCCTTCCCTCCCTCCCTCTCTCCTTTTCTCTTCCTCTCTCTCTTTCGCAGTACTGGGGATTGAACTCACAGCCTTGTGCTTGCTAGGTAAGCTTCTGTACCCCTTGATCCGTGTCCCAGTCTCTTAGTTTTTAATTTATTAATCAGATAGGGTCTGATAAATCCAGGCACTCTCCGACCATGATCCTTCTACCGTCATCCCCAGAGTAGCTGGGATTATACAGTTGTGTGCCCCCATTCCTGACTGGGAATACCATTTTCTAAGGGCTTGGCAGGTGAAGATCCCAAGAAAGATACCAAAATATAATAGTTCAGAAGATATGAGGACACTTAGGAGAGAGTGATGTCATGGAGGTCAAGGGAATAATGAGTTTCAAGAAGGAGTGAATGGCTATTTAATGTCATATGTAATAGATCCAGTATGACAAGGATTGCAGAGTGTTTGTTGGATTTATTATTTTCTAGGGTTAGTTTGGCGAATTGGTGTTTGTAAAAGCCAGTCTGTAGTGCACAGAAGAGTTTATTTAATCATCAATTCATTCAATGTTAAGAGTTTTGTGCCTTATGCAGTAGGCACTGGATTGGTGTGGATATGTTAGTAAATAAAAATGTTTCTGCTTTCATGAGAAATTCTAATTGAAGGAGATAAAGGCATGGGAAGTGAGGGTAAGTAGAAAACTTCTAAAGAGCTCTTTCAAGAAGGTTAAGCTGGTATGGTGCCTCAAGTCTGTAATCCTAGCTACTTAGGAGGCAGATTGGGAGGATTGCCATTCGAGGCTAGCCTGGGCAGAATGTTTGTAAGACCCCATCTCAATCAATAAAAAGCTGGGCGTAGTGGCACATACCTGTCATTCCAGCTATGGCAAGAAGTGTAAATAGGAGGATCCGAGTCCATGCTGGCCTGGGCATAAATGCAAGACCCTGACTAAAAGATAACTGAGGCTATAAAGGGCTGGGGGAATGGCTTAAGTGGTAGAGTACCTATCTAGTTCAAACCCCAATACTGTCTAAAAAGATTGGCTAAGAGGGTATGGAAGGTAATAATATAGAAATAATTAGTATTTATTGAATGCTTGTCACGTGCTAGATGTCCTATATACAGTATACCTTTTAACTCTCCCAGCAATCCTATAGAGAAGATATTATCTTCCCTATTTTATAAATGAGGAAACTTTGGATCAGAGTAGCTAAGTAACTTACCTAAGATTACACAGCTAATAAGTGGCAGATCTGAGGATTCCAGGTCATTCTGATTCCAAAGTTTCTACTTACAACTACTATGTTGTTTTGTATCTACAGAAATATATTTTCATGTTGGTAGTAACTATTAAGTACTTATATTTACTTACTCATTTACTTACAATTAAAGTTCTTTAAAATGACTTTCTTATATATCACCATTACATAATGATAGCATTATATCTTATTATTTTGCATTTCATCTTTAAGAATCCAAAAAAATTTTGGTGATATGAGTCATGCATCCATCTCTGACATAGAAAAGAACAGCTGCAGATGTCATCCTGTCACCCTCATGTAAAATCCTTTAGTGGCTTCTCATTGACTAATGACTCTATATAACCCCTTTTCACTCCTACAGCCTTATTTCTGCCAACTTTATTCTACATTCCAGATGTACCGAATAATTTCCAGCCCTAGACTTTCTTTTTTTCTCCAAATGTTTACCCATATACTTTGTTAGCGATCTCCTTGCAGCACTGTAAATACATCTTGCACTTGGCCAACGCCTACTCATTCTTCAGATTTCATTAGTCTTTCACAGAAGTCTTTCATGACATTGGACTAAGTCATGTGGGCAGGGTTTTTTCTTTTTCTTATTTTTCTTGAGATGGGGTCTTGCTATACAGTCCAGACTGGCCTAGAACTCAATACAGTTGGTCTCAAATTCACCATCCTCCTGCCTCTGCATTTTGGGTGTGCAAGGTTTCTTATAGCTTCTCTGCCATAGCATTTATTACATTAAAACAACTTTTTTGAGAACAAATTCACAATGTTATCAAATAAACCCATTCAAAGAGGCTTTTAATAGACTTAGTATTTAAGATTATAATAATGAGACATATACAACCATTACCTAGTCAATTTCAGAACATTTTCATGACCTGAAAAAGAATCCAAATATACCTGTTAGTTATTACCACTTCTCCCCATCCATCCAGTCCTAAGCAAGCAGTAACCTACTTCATACCGCTATAGATTTGCCTATTGTAGATATTTCGTATAAATGAAATCATGCAACATTTTTGACTGGCTTCTTTCATGTAGTATAATGTCTTCAGGGTTCATCCGTGTTGTAGCATGTGTCAGTACTTTGTTTCTTGTTATTATTGAATAAAAGATTACATTGTATGGCTATATCACATTTTATTTACACTTGCTACATTTTATCATAATTGCTTTTTTTGCAGTATTGGAACTTAAACTCAGAGCTTCCTGCTTACAAGGCAGGTGCTCTACCACTTGAGCCATTCCCACAGTCCTTTTGCTTTTAGTGTTTTCTCTGATTAGGGCCTTGTGTTTTTGCCCAAACTGATCTCAGACCTCAAATCTCCTACCTTTGTCTCCCAAGCAGGCATGCACCATCATACCTGGTGGGCCTTAAACTGCAATCCTCCTGTCTACTTCCTAAGTAGCTGCAATTACAGACGTGCCCCACCATGTAGTTGCTGTTAATGTCTGACTCAATAAAATCTAAATTCCACGAAGGCAGAGCTGTGTGTATCTTGTTTATCACTTTATCTCCAGCAAATTATTTATTTATTAAATGAATAAACCTATATAAGCTCATGAAGGACTCTGTTGTCTATGCTTGCCTACAGAAGTTCTTGTTTCTTTACACATTAACATCTCAAGCAAAAAAAAGTTCCTCCCTATTTAATATTTTGAAGAAGTTGGTCACTCTTTTGGAGATTTATAAGGATGCAAATAACTCATGGAACTGTCAGAGACCCTTACTGTTTTTTTTTTGTGGTACTGGAGTTTGAACTCAGGACCTCACACTTGCTAGGCAGGCACTCTACCCCTTAAGCCATGACTCCAGCGTTTTTGCTTTAGTTATTTTTTGAATAGTGACTTGTATTTTTACCCAGGCTGGCCTGGAACACAATCTTCCTATTTATGCCTCCTGCATAGCTGGGATGACAAGTGTGAACCATCAATACCCTACTTGTTGGTTGAGATAGGGTCTTGCTAACTTTTTGCCTGGGCTGGCATCGAACTGTGATCCTTCTGACTTCTGCCTCCGAAGTAGCTGGGAGTACAACTGTATTCTACCATGCCCAGCTCCTTATCGTTTTTGTGTGTACATTTATATTCCACAAATATTTATTGGAAACTTCATTGTGTCAGGCATTGTGAGGTGGTAGGTATGTAATGGTGAACAAGATGAACATAGTTGAAGAGATTTCAAACCTAAGAACTGAGAAAGAGCATATTTGTGTGTGTGTGTGTGTGTGTGTGTGTGTGACAGAAAATCTTTATTGCCACAGGAAGCAAGTACACTCATCCCATCTCACCAACTGCAGGCTTCACACAATAAAGTATACCATGGACTTGGGGAGAAATGATCCCTTGGACTATATTAGCTGGTATACTGAGTGTGAGGTAACCAGTTGACCTTGTTCAATGAAAATACCTCTAAAACAATGAAAGAAATCAACTAGTTATAACATCTAATTCATATATATATTTTGAGTGATTTTCAAATTTTACAGCATGAGTTTTGCTATGAGACCTTTAGAATTTGCTAAAGATCCATTGGTGTAAACATATTACCACTGTTTCCATAAATAGTATCATTATTTGTTATTGTTTGTCACCTGAAAAGTAGCTAATAAGGATAAGTATCTCTAGTATTTTTAAACTGCAGGATGGATAAGGGATATTTGCAGTTCTGTATTCTTGTTGTATTGTCATATCCAAATATATCCACTTTTCAGAATAGTGGTAAATTTCTTTGCACCAATTAAAAGGCAAAAATTAACATTTTCCATATCTAACACAATGCCTAACACAATGTAGTTACTTAATAGATATCTGTATGTTATATACACGGTTTCTCCTGGCTGAATTCAGTACATGTCACCAGTTTATGATCTTTGGTATTCATAGCTTGTCATTTAGTTCTTATAACCACTGTATAAAGCAGGAAACCAAAACTCAAAGCAGTTCACATTGCTCCTTATGTGCTCCTCAATGCATTCTCAAATAGGCCATGACATCACACAGGATTTATAATAATGAAGCAAACTCAGAGAAGGAGAATGACTTGCTTAACTCTCTATTCCCTTATCCTGCTTTGGCTTTCTTCAGATGTATTTTCATTTCTGGAAACTAATGTGTATATATATATATATGTATATAATATCCAGAAATGAAGAAATATGCATCAATTTGTATACTTGCTTGTTAGCCTCACTAAAATATTCAGTCTATGAGGGCAGGGACTGTATAAGTTATCTATTGCCGTGTAACAAATTACCCCAAAACTCAGCGCCTTAAAACAAGATGATTATTATTTTGCAGTCTCAGTGGGTCAGGAATTAAGGAGCAGCTTAGCTGTTGATTCTAGCTTAGGATCTCTCATGAGATATTTCAGCTAGGATTGTAGTCATCTAAAGACTTGACTAGGGCTAGGATATCTGCTTCAAAGATCACTCGTGTGATTGTTGGCTGGAGGTCTCAGTTCCTCACCACATAGGCCTCTCTCTTTATGACATGGCAACTGGTTTCCTCCATAGTGAGTAATTCAAGGGAGAATGAAGTAGATGCCTTATTATTTATAAAATATGTTTCATAATCTAGCAATGGAAGTGATGTATGTTCACTACTGCCATATATTGTTGGTGGCACATGCAAATCCTGATACGTTGTGGGGTAAGAACTACACAAGGCCATGAATAACTGAAGGTAGGTTTCATTAGGGACCATCTTGGAGACTGGTTACCACAGACATTCTATTTTGTTTACAATTATATTCTAACATTGAGAAGAATGTGTTGAATATGGTGGATGCTCAGTTAATATTTGTTAAATAAGTGGGTGGATGGATTTATAATACATATGAATTTAAAATGTATCCTTAGGAAAAAAACCATTCATGAGGCCATATTTGCTGGGGTGGGGATGGAAGGTGGTTGTCAAATGTAATGAGAAAGGCGAATTCATTCTATTTTTGATTATGTCTTTTCCTCAGATGTGGAAACATGAGGGCTTTTTTGCACTCTATAAAGGATTTTGGCCAAACTGGCTTCGACTTGGACCCTGGAACATCATTGTATCCTTTTAGAACATGAGAATGAAAGCAAATGATTCAAGATCCAAGGTAATTCTAGGCTATGGAAAGGAAATTTTGATTATTAAATACTTTTAGGCAAGTAAGAAACTCAAGCATCTCAATGGTGACCATCAAGGATGGAACTGAGTAGAGAAACAACTTTTAGTTCGAACATAGCAAGCTTAAGGGGGTAGAAAAGATGTGCCGAACTTTCCTCTTTTCCTTTTTGTTTTACATGACAACACAACCATTCTGAAAAGAGCTATGAAGTTGTTTTAGAAAATTTGATGCAGGATGCCCAGAGGAAAATCAATGCTAAGGTAGTATGGATTTCTTGTCCCTTACTATATGACAAAAAAGCTGGGAAATATTAAGATGACAGAAAACATTCATAGAGGGAAGGAATGCACAGCCAAATAGGAATATTTCCTCATGGGTGGACCTCCTTCCTGTAGCTGTGCTTGAGCACCTCCTGTGTGCAGTGCTATGTTCTGGATACTGTGTGTATAGTTGTAAGCTCTACAGGGTTGGAAAGTAATCCCTTGTCTTTATGGGGTCTGTAGGCTGACAGTGATAGTATCTCTTCCACTCCTTAGAATTGTTCTTATCATCTAACATGTATAATAACTTCTCTACCATTGAGTTATATGTTGTCATTGATGGTCTTGAGTGGTGTGTGTGTGTGTGTGTGTGTGTGTGTGTGTGTGTGTGTGTGTGTGTGTATGTGTGCGTTTAGTACTGTGCTCTTGAAGACTAAAGGTATATTATAGTTTTAGTCTGTTTCTGTTGCTAAATGCCATCCATCATAGTTGGCACATGGTAGGCACTCAGTACATTTATGATTCAACAGGGTTTTTCTTTTTAGACTTTTAAGTGAATACACTAAAATAGCAGACTAAGTACCTTAATTTAAGAGAATGCAACGTACAATTTTAGAACTGAGTTTGGCTTTCAGTATCAACCCAGAGTTCTTCCATGACTTACTTCTCAGTTTTTTATTACATATGAGCAGCTCAAGAGGCTTCAAATCTGAGAACTGAATACCTGTCAGCCCAACCCTGCCAGCCTTTCTACTATTTTTCTTTTCCCTTTCTTCATGTTCTAATGTATTTTGACAAAGTTGTAAGTGTTTACTGAACCAGTGGTCTCTCAGGGCCTCCTGATGGAAGAACAATAGGATTGTTCAAAGTTGTTTATGTGTTTGTGTTACCATGTTAACTTTTCCCTGAAAGAAAGTGTTAACATTGAGAGTCTGGCCCCAGATTGGTATCTTCTATGAAGATGGATACTGATGGGTGACATTCAAAATGGCCTTCTTTCCAAATGTGGGTTAAATGTAATTGGTTGCCCCCAAACTTGGGCTAGAGCAGAAGGCGTAGGCCAGGACAGTTATTGCCATGTATGTTACAGACCTCGGTTCTCATTAAAGTATTTATTGGCAGAATCACTTTGACTTTGTCTTCATTTACTGTTTTCTCCTTTGCTAACTCTAAGTTACATTCCCTAGAACATGATAAAGAGAAGGTGACTATGAAATCAAGACTGGACTCTGAAAGCACCATTTATGGGAATAGAATAAGTGTGTTGTGTTTTCACGGTGCTATTCATGGCATAATGCCACTCACTTCTAAGCATTAGGCAGGTGTTTTGTCCTTATGTATGAATAACCAGGCAAGTGGCTCACTGAGAAGTTTTTATAGATACAAGTATAAAAGAAACTTAGAATAGAACCCAGTGCTTAGGATTCTGTTTGTTACAGGCAAAAAAGTTGTGGCCATTTTCTTACACTAGAACAGTGCCTAGTACATTGTAGGCACTCAAGTTATTGGTGGGATTAATAATTTATCCATTCCTTCATTTGTTTGAACATTTTTAATGTTCCTATTATTTCCTAGACATTGGGAATATGTACTTTTTTGGTGGTACTGAAATTTGAACTCAGGATCTTTTGCTTGCTAGGCAGGCGCTCTACTACTTGAGCCACTCTGCCAGCCCTTTCCTTAGATGTTAGAAATATGAAAATGAGTAAGACATAGTCTCTGTTTTTTAAGCTAACATTATAGTGGGAGGGTAGATTGTAAGTAAATAATTACAGTGGATTCTAAGTTCTCTGTGAGAGATGAAAAAAGTTATATAGGAGCTTCTCCTACATCACAGCTTTACCTAAGGGATTTGTCAAACAAAGTTCACATTTAAGCTGAGTGGAGGTGACATTTAAGCTGAGTCAAAAGAAGATTGGATATTCCCATGTAGATAAGGCATTATACATTTTGACAAATGTTTAACAACATATATCTACCATTAGAAAACCATACAGAATGGTTTCACTGTCCTAAAAACCCTCCATGCTTGTCCTATTCATTCTTCTCTTTCCCACTAATCCCCTGGGAATAACTTGTCTCCTTGGTTTTCTCTTTTCCAGAGTGTCATATGACTGGAATCATATAGATGACTTTTCAAATTGGCTTCTTTCACTTAGTAATATGCATTTAAGATTCCTTCATGTCTTTTCATGGCTCAATGGCTCATTTCTTTTTAGTGTTTGTGTTGGAATTCTGTTACTATGACAAAATATCAGAAAAAAATCAACTTAAAGGAGGAGAAGTTTGTTTTGGCTCATAGTTTCAGAGGTTTCCATCCATGGTCACTTTTCCCCATTGCTCTTTTGGCCTTTGGCATGGCATTATATCATGGCAGAAGCATGTGGCACAGGAAAGTTGCCAGAAAGCAAAGGGAAAGAGAAGAAGGGTTCAGGGTCCCTTGAAGGGAACCCCTTCAACTTAGGTCATGCCCCCAGTAACCTACTTTCTCTAACTATGCCTTACTTCCTAAAGTTTCTACCACCTCCCATCAACTGGTGAATAATCCTTCAACACAGAGTTCTAGGGGACATTTAAGATCCAAACCATAAGAGTGCTGAGGAATATTTTGTTTTTTCTGTGTACCACAATGTATCATTCACTTACTGAATGACATCTTGATTGCTTCCAAGTTTTTGAAATTATGAATAAAGCTACTATGAACGTTTGTGTGCAGGTTTTTGTGTGGACATAACTTTCAGCTCATTTATGTAAATATCTAGGAACACAATTGCTAGATAGTGTGATAAGAGTATATTGAGTTTTATGAAACTGATAAACTGTTTTCCACAGTGGTTCTCCAATTTTGCATTCCCAGCACCAATGAACAAGAGTTCCTGCTGTTCCACATCCCTCCTAGTTTTTGGTATTGTCTTTATTTTGGATTTTGGCCCTTCTTATAGGTATGTAATAGCATCTCCTTTATTTTTTAAAACATTTACTACATCCATCAGATACCTTACTCAAACCAAATAGATGAGCAAAGGGGAAGCCATACTGTCACAGTGTACAGACTGAGAAATAGTTTCTTGAAGGGTTCACATATGCTAGAAAATGGCTCTCACTGACTTCAAATGTTACTCAGAAGAAACCTTCCAATGATTTCCTCTGTCCTAATGTAAATAACTTTCCTCATTATAATTTCTCATACCATATGTCACAATTTATAGTTGCACAATTGTGTTTTTGTGATTATTTGACTAGTATCTACATCTAACATCAGTCCGTAAACTCAGTAAAGAGGGATTATGCTGGTTTTTTTTTATTGCTGGGTTCTCAGTGCCTAGCACAGTTATATGCACTCAGTAAAGATTTGTTAAATAAGTAAATATATCCAAAGTATCAGATAAAATGCCTAAAAACATAGAAAAGTTCTAGCAAATAACATGAGACTTATATTGAATTCAATTAAAATTTGAATTACAAGATAGATGGTTTATGATAAGGATTACTTCAAGCCTGAGTCACTAGAAGGGCAGGACTCCCAGGATTCCCATGGGTTTAAGTATTTTCTATGCTGATGACTTCCGAATGTCATCTGTAGCCCATACCTGTCCCCTGACCTTCGTATGTTTATGTTCAATTGCCTAGCCCACATCTCCATTAAAGTCAAATAGGCACTTTAGACTTAATATGCTCACAACAAAATCCTTGATTTGTTCCCTAAAAACACTTTTAATGGCTTAGGACTCGAAGTAATCAACTCTGCTTTCCCACAGCTCCAGCAAGTCATATTTCAATGGATGAAGATCAAAATCTGTAGACTATAAGTTGAAAAAAGATTCCCCTTTCATTGAGATAATGGAGAGTGACAACTTAGATAATAATAATAATAATAATAATAATAATAGCTAAGCTGGGCATGGTGGCATGCACCTGTAGTCTCAGCTACTCGGGAGGTGGCAGAAGAAGGATCCTTTGAGCTTAGGAGTTCAAGCCCTCCCAGGGAAACATAGTGAGATCCTATCTCAAGGGGAAAAAAAGCAATAGTTAATATTTACATGGCTTTATTATATAGCAGATACTGTTCTAAGTCTATTGTGTTAACAAAAGTGTCTAAATCCTTACAACCACCTCTATGAGGTAGATACTATACTCATTTTTCAGATGAGAAACTGAGGCACAGAAAGGTAAAGTACTTTGCTCTAGAAAGTCGCAGAGCCAGAATACTGGTTCATGAGCCCATACTTAAGTCCACACATACTGAAGATGTAGTGACTTACCTTGTCTGGATTCACAACGTTTATGGCAGGTGAGCACTAAAATATTGATTTCATTAATTTCCCTGTCTTTATAGCACATGAGAAAGAAGATCAATAGTTTTTGTGACTGGTCACACTCTGACACTTAACTGTAATATTGGATTTAGATTATTTTCCTGGAGACCTGTCACTGTGAATATCTCATTCCCCCCTTGTTCTCCACGTTCTATTACTTCCTTCTCTTCACTTTGTTGGCCTTTCTTCCCTCTCACTTATTTCATCACTACCTTACCCCCCCTTTTCCTCCAGTCTGAGTGAGCACAGTTCACCAGGGGTAGGTTAGCACAGCAGGGTTCAGAAAGAAGTTCTTGTTATTAGAGGTAGCACACCAGAACAACATGAAGTTATTCCTCTTCTATGTTAGATTATCTGCATTTATTGAAGAACTTAAAATTATTGATACGGATGTTACTTTGAAATTTAGTAATTTGGACATGGGGCTAGACTTCTTGCCCTCTCTCCTTTGATGCACACAGTCTTTTGTTATCCTTATGAACAAGTTTATAGGACAAGTAATGATTAAACCACTAAAACCTGATTATAAATAATTCTGTATTCACGAAAGCCTCACTTAAGGGAATTTAAAACTTACTCCAATAGGATATTGCATGGTTAAGGTAATAAAATTGCCTTTTTTTTTTACTAATGTCTTTGTGCCTTTCCAGTTTTAATGGCTATTCCCCAATGATACCAGTTTCTAAGGTATTACTCTAAACAGTATTTCTCATTTCTCCATTCAGTGTCTCGGCGTTGGAATCCAGTGTTTGGAAGCTGTGCCTTATTCATTATGAACTCCTCGTGCATCCATATCTTTCCTGTTTTTTTTAGTAAATAAAAAATTATTTAACATACTCATTATATAAGATTATTAAAGACCTGGTAATTTTAAAGTAGTGGTTAGAATTTTGAGGTCTAAGGGTCCAAGAGTTCCTAAGAGAAATGTTTAGATTATGAGCCTGTTTTTCACATTTGAAATAATTTCATAGTCCTTCAGCTATAATTTATTGGTTTCAGCATCTCACCTTTTTTAAACCTACCTCTGAGTAGATAGAGCATTTGTTTGCTTTTCTGCAGGAAGTGTTTTCCTATTTGTTGAATGGCTCAATGAACAAATCTTTAAAAATACTACAGGTGGTAAAAGCACATTGAACAATTTTATAAGACAGCATGGCATTTTATTGTTCTATCTCAGTGTGTTTATCGGCGTTTTAGTGCCTTAATGTCAGTACAATTGAGACAGACCTAGAACTGATGTAGACTTGTTATAGTAAATGGGAAATATTAAACCATGGGATCATTGAGCAACACACACTAAAAACAATGAATCTAAATAGATGCAGAGACCTCCTCTGCCTCTTGGCTCTACATGATCTTAGTTCCTCTAGTGCCCAGGAGCAAATGAATCCTATCTGCCCCATTGTATAGAAGGGATTTGAAAGAAACAGGAATTGCTTTGTGCACTAAAAGACTCAGACAAGGCCTTAGCAGCTGCATCAGTCGTTTCCAGGATGCTTCATGAGAGACCTCTTTGAGCCCAGTGGTTGATTAGGGTACTAACAGCTTGTAAATTCGGTGAACATATGGCTGGGTAGTAGCATGTTAACCTCTCCTGCATTTTACCCTGCCATGGTCCATCATTAGGTGGAGAAACGTCTTTCCCTTTCAGCAAACTGTGAGGCTTGAAGGCTTCAGCTGCATCAAGAACTGTCTCCTAGCTCTGTGTGTAAATGTTTTATTCTCATGTCTACTTAGCATTTTATGATATTGTATAAAGCAGCTACCTCAGAAAATTTTGAGTGAAAATGCTGAAATTGATATCTAGATATCATACTATGCTGTACTGATGATAGAGTTGCCTGGTGAGGGGCTTTCCTAAAATGCTGTGTTGTTAGTCCAGACTTCTGATTTTCAGGAGACAGATTAAGCCTAGCAGCAGGACATATCAAATGGTTTCCTTTTGTTAAAACAAAACAACAAAACAAGACAAAGTTAACTCCCTGAGTATGGTTTGTGCTTTCAGGAATTCATGTGCTTTTATTTGCTTGAGATATTCATATCAGTGTTATGTGCTCATTTATGGTTTACTTTCGACTTCTCTGAGCAGATATCCCAGGAAAACATTACATTTCAAGAAATGCCAGTAAAAGTATAAATCAAATTCATATAAATGTTTAATGCTCTTTGATCTAGTAATACTGCTTTGGAGGATTTAGCCTTAAGGAACTGAACAGAGGGATGTCAAAGATTTATACACGGTGTTTATAGTAGTATTATAACAAGGAGAAATTGGGAAGTAACCTAAATTTTGGCACAAGTATAGGGAAATGGTTAAAATATTACATACTTGTTTGTTGAAAAAATACGCAACCATTATTTATGTTTTTGAAGAAGACTTAATGGCATAGGAAAATATCCACAATATTCAGTCAAATTAAAAAAAAAGATGGAGAGTAACAGCAGTCATCTCTGGATGATATAATTGTGGGTACCTTAATGATTTTCCATATGTTCAAAACTTTCTAAAATTAGCAAAAGTTGCTTTTATAATAAAAAAGGAATAATAAGTATCATTCATACATCAGTAAGTATCTTTAAAAGAAATCCCAGCAAAGATAGGGCAGTTTTAGTACCTAGCTCTCAGTTTGTCGGTAGATAAAGAGATAGACTGACTGACAAATGAACAAATGACAATTGACATTTGTAGGCACCACCACTGAGTTTGTAAGATTGCAGAAATAACAAATGAGGATTCACATAAAAGAAGGATATTCCAGGCTGGTCAGCAGTTTTCAAAGGATCACGTGGACGGTACTGAAAGAGTCAAAAAATTGCGTGCCTGATGGCCAAGGAGTTGCGATCTGTTCTTGTTTCCATTGCTACTCTTTTTGCCCTTCCTTGGATGCATGTTTCTTCTTATTCTATGTATGTCCTTGAAGTATCTCTAATGCCTTCTCTTTACACTGGTCTTGGTTCAGTTTGGCCAGTGGTTGAGCTTGGTGAGCATAAAATCTAGGTCATGAGTTCAATTCCCATTTGAACCAGTTAATACTTCTTAATCAAGGGAGAAGATATCCCACGGCTAACTTTGGCTGGCCAACTCCCAGAGATGGGCTTATTGGTTGTGCAGAAGAGTATCAGGAGGTCAGAGCAACCTGCCTCTAACACTTGTAAAAACCATTCAAAATACCCTTGTACAGAAGGCTTTGTGATCTTATGTTCTTCAAAGTAGTCCTGATACTTACCTGGCAGGGGAGATACCATGATCACAAAGTAGTCCTGAAACTGAAACAGAGGTGCAATATGTATAACTTTAGATAGCCAAGGATTTAATATAAAACATAGTTATGTCACAGTTTTTATAATGAATTCACAATAAGCTACTCGTGGAAACTATGAATGGAACTGATTGATATACATTGTATCCTACCACGTGTTCATATCTTTTAGATATTTTGATCAACTGCTGAACAAAATGTAGCTTCTTTGCAACCCCATCGGGAGACAGTATTGGATGCATGAATGATATCTAAATGTTTCCTCTCCAGTGCTTTCCCTTATCTGTGAAGGAGCCTGCGTCAAAGAAAGCTATTAAACTTTTGTATAGCGTTCTGTGTCTCTGCTCTTGACAGCTTATGAAACACAGTGTTAATTGCAGTTACTCTTAAACCCAAGTGTATGAGACTAGTGCCAGTGCTTTGTTTGTATCTGCTTTTTTTTTTTTTAAGTATTGTAATTTTTTTTTGGCAGTACTGGGATTTGAAGTCAGGGCCTCATGCTTTTTAGGCAGATGCTATAGCACTTGAGCCACATCTACAGCCTTGTATCTGCTCTATCTTGATACTGCTAAGATATTAGATTTACTGCTTGCCTTTTTCAACCTGAATTATTTCTTATTCTTTAGTAAAAAGAAAATGTGTTCTGGGGTTGAGGGACGCACGCTTCTGAGCTAAATTGTTTTTGTAGATCATAATACATGAATGTGATGGACTCCCTTAAACGGGTCAACTGACTGTTTTATTCTTGGGGATTTTTAAGGAAGAAGAAAACTAACATTTTCTGAGCACTAATAATGTGCCGGAGTTTATTTAGCATTTTTGCATACATTATCTAAGTTCATCCTCACTATAGCCTTGTAAGATAGGCATTACCCCCCAAATTAACAGATGTGTCTCATTTTGAGAATTTAAACAACTAAATCATGATATGAACACTTATTTGTTAGACTCGAAAGCCTATGATTTTTTTTGCTGCATATCCTGATTCCCAGGGTTTCTTAGACTGAACCTGATAACAAACTGATCATTTAGATTCTTTTGTTTCTGCTTTTCTCCTGTAGCTTTAAAATATCTTTAAATTTTTATTTTTAATTAAAAAATAATAACTGCATATATTGATTGGATACAGTGTGATGTTTTGATATGTGTTTACAAGGTGGAATGATTACGCCAGGCTAATTAAATTCCATTCCACTTAGCTTATGGTACCTCAGCAAGATCCATCCTTTGCAGAAAGACAAGGAATTAAGCTTTGAACTACCAGTAAGGAAAGAATTGGTTTGAACTGGGATTTTGTCCAAAATGCGGTTATTATTTGTATTTAACTTAATTCACACTTAATGCATAATCCAGTCCAAGAGTGTGTTAGCATAGCTGCTACTTACTGGATACTCAGCACTTCAAGGCATACTGAGTTCCATCATCCATTACACAGCCAAAAACTTCTTCAGTGGTACGAACATAAAGCTTGCTATAATGAAAACAAGCATGTTCCTCCTCTGAGCCAGAGAAGTAAGCAGAGCAACAGCAAAACAATTTCCCAAAGAAGGGCTGATGTACAGCAGAATAGATAGTAGAAAACAGGCCGTTGGATAGAGGGTGAAGAAAGGGTAGGGAATTTTCAAAGGTGTAATTATTATCCTCTAAATGATTGGTGAAAGAAAGTTGGGAGTTAATTGAAAAGGGAATTAAGAAAATTCAACTGCAAAGCACCATGGTGTGGTGACATCCTTTTGAGGGGAGAATGGCTGGATTCCATCCAGGTTCTGAATATTAAAATTTGAATGAAATATTTCAAGGGCCTTTTAGAATTGGCATTTGCACATTGGACACATCAGGCCATCATTTTAGAGATATTGAGGGATTAACCTAAGATTGCCTCAGTACCAGATCCCAGACAAATTACTTCATGCTACTTTAGTTTCATCTTGCCCTCCCTTTTTTTGCCAACTCAGAAGATTTAAGGGAGAAATAACTCAATTTAGGGCCTTGAGAACACTCTCTGAGTCCATTGTGGAGACCAGGAGGTTGAGGGAAGGGTTATAAGAAAACACGGGAAGGCAAAGTGTGATTCCTGAGTCCTCCCTTCCCCATTTTGTCCTAAAGTGTCTCTCTCTCTTTCTGTACACACACACACACACACAATGCTATGGGTGGAACCCAGAGCCTTGAGCATGCTAGGCAGGCACTCCACCTCTGAGGTACATCCCCAGCTCCAACATTGTCATTTTCTATACCACACAGAAAGGAGGATGAACTGCTGTCCTATGCCACTTTGATGGCATCTTTTGCAGCTGAGTTTCTCAGAAAATACAAATTTGGGAGTATTGAAAAATTGCTATGGGAAGAAAGTCTAGCTCTGAGGAGAAAAGTGGGTCCAGTCTGGAGAGCTTGGAAGTGCATGCCTTAGTATATACTTCTTTTCCTTTTCTTCCCTTCCAGTACCTCAGAGATTGTGGTTTATCATTGTCCTCAGCAAGTAGCTACAAGTGACACAGGAGGAAACCAAGGCGAAGGGGCACCAGAGAGTTAAAAAGGTGATGGACTGGGAGGGGTAATAGCAGAAATAATCACAAGATACACTAGTTCCCAAAGAAACATTCTGAACCCCAAAGGAAAAGACAAGCTTCAGACTCAGGTATTTTATGCAAACTCACTGTATGCAATCTCTGATTTACATTAGGAAAGGCAGGAGGTACAGGAACTCCTTACTTTATGAGCGCATTTTTGTAGTTAATCACTATAATAAACAGTTAAAAAGAAAACCTAATTTCTCAAGTGCTGTGATGTCCAGTGTGGGAGCTGCTAAGCCACATATGGCTATTGAGTATTTGAAGTATGGTTAGTTTGAATTGAAAAAAGAATAAAATACACATCAGATTTCAAAGATTTAGTATGAAAAAAATAGTAATTTTTATATTGATTACATGTTGAAGCAATAATATTTTGGATATATTGGATTAAATAAAACATTAACATTAATGTTTAAGGAGATGGAAATATTAATTACTTGGATTTGATCAATATATATTGTACACTTGTATCGAAATATCACACTGTACTCCATAAGTATATATAATTAAAATAATAATTTAAAAATTAAAGCTTGTGACTTTAAAAAGTATTAGCATTAATTTTGCCTATTTCCTTTTTAACATGGCTACTAACTAGAAAACTAAAAGTTATGTATGTGGCTTGCATTCTATTTCCATTGGACAGTGTTGTTCTGATACATTAAAAATAGGATTTCACATGCAAACGTCTTTTTAGCAGTATATTTCTGGCTATTAATGAGCACACCTCTAAGGAAACAGGCCCATTTCAAAAAAAAGAAGTGCAAGGAAGAATGGAAATTTGCAAGTGGAGATACTGATTATAGAAGCAAGTCAGGACCATGCCTCATTTTCCTCATCCTGGGGATGAGGGGATGTGGGAGGTGGAGTGGTCAATTGCCTGAGGCAAGTTCTGTCATTCACCTAGCTCCATGTGAACTCCTAGCTGGGATCCAGAGTGGGGAGAGGATAAGGCACTTTGAAACTTCTCCTTCCTTACCATCTTAGCCATCAAGCTCTGAGTGGAAGAGAGTGACGATGTGACAGGAATTTTCCCTGGGTCTTTCTGGGCCACCGTTCCTGGCTGAGAGAAGGAGGAGGAAGGAGGTGAGCCCCTTCTTTACTCCCAGGGCCATGTGGTAGAGCTGCTGCCGCACTTCCTTCTGCCAATAGGCATAGATGAGTGGGTTGAGCAGGGAGTTGCCTACACCGAGCAGCCATAGGTACTGTTCCAGCACTTCGTAGAGGTTGCACTCTTGGCAGGCTACCTGTACAATGCTAGTGATAAAGAAGGGGGACCAGGACAGAGTGAAGCTCCCAATGAGAACAGATACAGTGCGGACAGCCTTGAAGTCGCTGTGAGACCGTGGAGGCCGGTAAGCTCCAGTCATGGCTCCTGCGTGTTCCATCTTTCGGATCTGCTGGCTGTGCACAGAGGCAATCTTGAGCATGTCGCAGTAGAAGAAGACAAAGAGGAGCACGGCTGGGAAGAAGCCAGCGACAGAGAGGGTCAGCACAAACCTTGGGTGAAACACAGAGAAGAAGGTGCAGGGCACCTTGTAGGTGGTCTGCTGGAATATGGAGACTCCAAGTGGGAGGAAGCCAATGAGGTAAGATACCAACCACAGCCCAGCAATGCAGGCCCCAGCCATGGGCCCATTCATGATCTGGAAGTAGCGGAGCGACTGCTTAATGGCTAGGTATCTGTCAAAGGCAATCAGCATGACTGTAAGGACAGAGGCAGCTGCAGAAGAAGTGACAAATGCCATCCGAAGGCTGCACAGGGTCTTCTGTGTGGACTGAGAAGAGCTGGAGAACTGGTCTGCGACTAGCCCCGAGATAGCCACACCAATCAAGGTGTCAGCCACAGCCAGATTCAAGGTGAAGCAGAGACTGACACCATCATTCTTGTGGATTGACAACAGGATAGCCACAACCACTATTGCATTAACAGCAATGATGAGGAAGGTCAGGACAGCAAGGATCACTCCAAATGGGAAAGATGACTCCATGTCTTGAAGTGGCAGAACTTCCACTTACCAGGGCATTCTGTCTCTCCACCTCAAATTCTCATGGGCCAGGGAAAGATGAGCTGTAAGTTCAGAGCCACAGTGTAATTCTGGCCATTACTGGCAGTCCAGGTTGGCAACTTGCCACCTCTAGTGACTGATGTCACTAAGAATTACTCACCCTCTTTTTCAGTCCTCTACCTCCTGCCTCTCCAGCTTTCTGAAGGCAGAAATCCCAAGGCAGACCTCTCCCTGAGCTCTGAGCTAGTCCCTCCCCTTCCAACAACCAAGTTACTAGACAACACCCAAGTACCTGGCACATGCTGTCTCTCCAGGACCTCTCCCTTCATTGATGCTTCAAGGACTTTGAAGGTACGGGGACATTCATCAGGTCTCCTGTTGGGCAAAAGATATAATTGACTCTCATCATTCTTCCTTCATAGCTTGATATTAAATTTACACTATTCTTCCTAAGCCTTACGTGCCAGATTAGTAATTAATCTCAGATTAATTAAGCATTTGCTTAATAAATAATTTTCAGTTAATACTATGAATGCTTTTAATCAGGCAAGTGATGATAATCAGTTTGAAGTGGGAAGTGAGGATAAATTAGTTATTTGAGGGGCCCACAACCCTTTCAGGAACATCACCACATATTTAAGGTGTTTCTTATGTTTTGTTTCCTAGGACCCCAAATGCTAATTCTCTCAAACAGGGTATACAGTTCCCCTATTTCTCACCCTTAGATCTCAGTTCATTGAGAATTCAGAGGGACAGACAGGAAAGACAAGGCAAATAACAGTTAACAGCTATCATTTGGTTTAGAATAGAGCCCATTCCCTATCTTAAGCTGTTGACTCTTGGGTGTAGTCATTGGGAACTGTTTCCATACTGTGGTGGGCTGTGTCCCTGGTCAGTGAGTAGCGGCTGGCAGTCTTGCCTTTCTTCATCCTATAGACCCAAGGTTCTTTGACAAGAAGAGGTGGGCTTCAGTCAAAAACATATGTGCTCATTCTTTAGCAGTGGAATTTTCCAGAGATAGAGCTCATGGGTGGGGAGTTAGGCCAAAGGGTGGCAGTATTGCTGAGGCAGGTGAAATGGGTGCAGGGACGGCAGCTGTGGAAGTCACTCCATTTAGGTCGTATGGCCATTTGCTCAGATATATTAGCACTAACCTTTTGCTTGCTACTCTCATCTTGGATACCAAGAAGAGAGGGGTGGGAAGAAGAGTAGTTAGGAGCTTATTTACTCAGTTCAGCTGAGAGCACAAATGGGAAAGGTTAGTGTTTTCAGTGAGAGAGTGGAGAGCAAGGTGTAGTGTTGGAGGCAAATATATTCCAGGATGTTTTGACAGTCTGAGGGGGCCTATGGCAGATGTGTCTTCTGCAAAGGCTCAGAAAAACTGTTTCATGGGGACTCGATATTCCAGTTGTCAGTCTGAGAACAGTTCTTATTCTTTGGTACATGTCAAGTTTAAGAGGCTGATTTCAGTTCTTTAGAATCTAATTTTGTACCTGAATTTAAGGTGTTCTTGTGTTTCCCCAGTTTTTCACTTCCTGTATGGATGGACTCAAGCTGGCTGATGTTCAAACTTGCAAGTGCATCAGAGTCACCTGGAAAAAAACCCAGATTCCTGGTCCTCACCCTAGAGTTTCAGATTCAGTATGTCTGGAGTGGGCCTGTGAATCTGCATTTGTAATAAATTTCCAGCTGCTGCTGCTGGCTAAGGGACTACACTTTGAGGAGCATTGCTCTAGTGCAATGGTTCTTAACCTTAACTGCATTGGAATCAGCAGTGATTCCAAAAAATATTGCTCTTTGGTCCCACGTACCAAGCATTCTGACATAATTAGAATGGGGTGTGACTTGTGCATCTGCAATTTAAAAAATTCCTTAGGCAATCCAGAAACTTAGCTGGGATTGAGAACCATAGTCTAGTAGCAAAAGCACAGGCTCTGGAGTCAGAACTCTTGGGTTCCATATCTGACTTTGGTTAGGCAAATGACTTCCTCTTTCTGATAAAGCTTTGGTTCTCTGATGTGTATTATAGGGACAATAATACCTACATCACAGGGTTGTGAGAATGGTAAATCAAGTATGATGGATGTGAAAAAGCTTCATAAACTGTAGGATTTTAAAAAAATTTTTATTTTGTTCATATGTGCATACAATGTTTGGGTTATTTCTCCCCCCTCCCCCCACCCCCTCCCTCTCCCCCCCACCCCCTCGCTACCCAGCAGAAACTATTTTGCCCTTATCTCTAATTTTGTTGAAGAGAGAGTATAAGCAATAATAGGAAGGAACAAGGGTTTTTGCTAGTTGAGATAAGGATAGCTATACAGGGAGTTGACTCACATTAATTTCCTGTGCATGTATGTTACCTTCTAGGTTAATTCTTCTTGATCTCACCTTTTCTCTAGTTCCTGGTCCCTTCTCCTATTGGCCTCAGTTGCTTTTAAGGTATCTGCTTTAGTTTCTCTGCATTGAACTTGCCCATTTCTTTATTGGTTCAAACTGTAGGATGTTATACAGGTATTATGATAGTCTTCTAGTCTCTGTTAATCAAATTAACGCACTGTTAGTGAAAGTGTGTACCAGAAGCATAACTTGAGAGCTTGGTGGAAATGTAGAATCTCAGGCCTTGCAAAGACCTGAAGCAGAGTACATTTTAGCAAGATCTCCAGATGATCTGTATGCATGTTAAAGTTGTCCTTGCTCGCTCCTATTCTCACATGCCTGGTTTTATCAGTTTCCTTTTGCTTCTGTAACATACCACCACAAATGTAGTGGCTTAAAACAACAAAGAGCTACTATCTTAAGAGTTCTCTGGGCCAGAAGTCTGAAATGGGTCTCCCAGGGCCAAAATCAAGGTGTTAGCAATGGTGTGTTCCTTCAGGAAATTCTAGGAGAGGATCTCTTTCCTTGCATTTTTAGCTTCTAGAAATTGCCTCATTCCTTAGCTCTTGGACGTATCACTTAGACCTCTACTTCCACAGTCACATCTTCTCTGACTCTGACGGTTCTGCCTCCCTCTTGCAAGGATCCTTGCAATTACATTGGGTCTACCCAGGCAAACCAGGAAAACATCCTTGTGTCAGGATCTTTAGTCACACATACAAAGTCCTTTTTTGCCAACTGAGGTCATATATTCATACGTTCCAAGGATTACAATGTAGACATTTTTGTGGGGGTATTATTCTGCCCAACACACTGGTATTCTCTGCTGCCCAGATCTCTTCCTCCTTCATCATTCAACAGATGTTCTTTTCAGTCTATTTACCTTTGCTCATGCATTAAATATTTAGTTTTCTTTTCTTTTCTTTCTTTCTTTCATTCATTTTTTTTTTTTGCAGTCCTGGAGTTTGAACTCAGGGTCCAGTCTTTCTAGTTCTTTTAGCCATTAGATTTTTCCTGTTTTCTGTTGTGTCTTCTTAGGAACTGATTTAAACTAACATAGGCAGTCTTGAAAGACGGTGGTCTCCTTTTCATTGGATATACACACGCAGAGGCTGAAGGCCCATCTGTCAGGACAGTTGTAGAGGGAATTCCTGCAGCAGTGTGAAACATGACTTCCGTTGACTTGGGTTTCAGTCCCTATGCAGTCTGTTTTCTCCCTTCCTTCTTACCTACTCTCACCTCTGTATTTTCCTTGTTTTTTTTCTACTTCTTTTTCCATACCACCCTGTGTGTCCTAGGAGTGTGCCCATGATATGAGGTCAAGGCCTCAGGAAATGTGACTCATTCCTGGGAGAGTGGTGGCTGATCCTTACAGTTGTGCCCCAATGGGATACTCTATTGGCTCTTGGGGTCTTCAGACTAGAGTACCTAAAAGGCAAACATACTGTGGTTGAGAAAGAAGGAAGGAAGAAGGGATTATTCTCTGATCAAACTATTCAACAAGTATACTAAAAGCTGGTAATTGTGGGCTGTCACCAAGGATGAAGAAGGGCATTTCATCCTCCCTAATGACATGGGACTCAGGAGCAGAGTTTTCAGCAAGAATAAAAGTAGAGAATGCAGGCTTCAACAAGGCTTTCCATCAGATCCAGGCCCCTGAGAGAAGCTCTAGGATGGTAGCCAAGAAAAGCTGCACCTGACTTCTTGTGCCTAAGCTAGTCATCTGCCTACAATGATTTAGCTACATTTTGCCCAAAGTAGCAGTGAAGGCCCATCTGTCAGGACAGTTGACAGTGACATTCAATATCTCTTCCTGAATGACTGGACTGGTAATACACTATTATGAAATATCACACAGTAGTGTGAAAAGAATGAGATAGGTTTGTATGTACTGACATAGACTTCCAAGATATATTGCTGATTGACAAATCAGGTCACAAATCGATATAGAGAGGAGCCTGGATCCACTTATGATTTTAAAAAAACCTCCCATTTAATCCTCACAGCAATTTTGTAAGGTAGGCACTATTAATAAGTTGGCCTTACAGATGAGGAAATCAAGGCACACAGTGAGGGTGGCTTATTTGCCCAAGGCTACCCAGCTTGTAAGCAGAACATGTTGGATATTTGAAGGCAGGTTAGAACCTTGTGTGTGGCCTGTGGATGGCAATGAAGGGTTTGTCCTTCGTGAGCTCCAGTGGCTCACATCTGTAATCCTAGTTACTTGGGTGGCTGAGATCTGGAGCACTGCAATTTGAGGCCAGCTGGGGCAAATAGTTCACAAGACCCCATCTCCAAAATAACCAGAGCAAAACGGACTGGGAGGTGTGGCTCAAGCAGTAGAGTGCCTGCTTTGCAAACATGAAGCCCTGAGTTCAAACCCCAGAAAAAAAAAAAAAGGACTTACTCTGTTTAACATCAACCCTAGAGACTGGATTTTGTCCCTTTTATTGCCAGTTTGTGCTTCCATGCCTTTTCACTTTCTTCTACCTCTGACCTTCAAGCTAAGCGATCACTTTTATGCTTTGAGATTTTTTTTTCCAAAGATGGTTGGCTGAGAGAAAATAGAAGCTCTTCTTTGTCTATAAAAGGACAGTGATCGTGGAAACGAGGATTGTTTTACCCTGAGCCCAAGAAAATATATAAATTTGTATACTTCTCCATTTATCTTTCCAGTCCTGTTTCAATTTTTGTTATTCTCTCTCTCATTTCGCACTTTATTTTTCATCTTAACTGTTGTAGCCTTCTTATCCCATCACTCTCCACAAAAACGTCTTCCATATTAGCAATTACCACTTTCCTACTCTGTGCTAGTTACT